CGATAATTGTTATGGTCGAGGTAGTTGTTTTCCCTAACTATTTAGTGGGTCAGATAAATCATTGTTACTGTCACATACGGTGTAGGATTTTCAAAAATTATTGCGTTGTAGTTTAATTTTTATTGTTTTAAATTAGTTATTAGTATTTAGTCAAAATGTAATTCAAAAACTAGATATTGTAATGTTGTCTTTTTATAATATTCAATCAAATATTTTAAGCTCTTGAGATAGTATCATTTATTGTATAACATACGGTATTTTAAATAATAAAAATAAAATAAAAATGTGAACTCTCTAAATTACCATTTATACTGCAATTTATATGCAAACTATATGATATAAGATGGCTTGTTTAAATATCTCAGCTTACGAATATACTGATCGATTCATTAAAACATAATAACACATACAGATTATTATTTTATTAATACAATCACTACTGAGAGAATAGCTCTCGTGTTGAAGTGAACAGATGATTAAATATTAGATTAACCTAGGAATAATTTTTTTGAACATTACTGTTAAAAAGTACAAATAATTTTACAGTCGAAATCGGTATTTTTTTTTTTTTTTTTTTGTATTTGCAATAATTCCAATATACGAATATGTAATGTTTATTTATTAAATTTAATAAACGAGTTTTGTAATTTTATTGAAACTGAAAACATAATTCCTTCCTGCACCGTAGAAAATATATCTTTAACATTTCAAAATGTCATTTTTATATTTATATAATTTCATCATTAAAACCGGTAAACCACACGTGTCAAAAATAATTTGATAAAATTTGTGTTATTTGGTATTATTAATTTAAAACTTATTCCGACGAAACGAAAAAATTTAATTTCAACGATTCGTGTAAGTTTTTTAGATCCGCATGACAAGTTTTCGAGTATGATTATACGTTTCAGTTTGGTACCGATAAAATGAGAAGCATCGATTTGATTAAAAACTCAATAAAATCATTTGAATTTTTTTAAAAACGTCATTTGTTGATGGTGCTCGAGGACCGTTGGCATCTGTTGTCTAGCATTATTTGGACAGTTTAAATCTAAAAAGTTATAATGGGAAAACTTTTTAATGCATATTTCAAACATGTAAGGTCTGAATTTAATATAAAAATCCTGTGTAAACATGTTAAATATAAATTATTCGAGCTTATAAAAATTGTTTGAAGGTCGAAACATTGATTTTTCATTCAACTTATCTGGTCATGCTTAAAAAAACAACATTTTATTATTCTGATTCGGCTTAAAACAATATAGAAGTGCATTACAAGATAGCAGTGTTTAATATATTTGTTACACGTTGAAACATTTATGGAATTATATTCATTATTATTTACTACTCAGTGTATCGGAAATATAATCAAAAAATGCTATAACATTCACTAATTTTAAGTATACCAAAGTAATATTATATTGATCGATATAAATACATTAACCGAAGGCCAAAGCTTAAAATGTTCATGTCGAAACTTTACAAAGCGATTTTGATTCGTCAAAATAATTTTATTTTTAATTATATTCCCAAGTCTCAGAAACCATAAGGGGGTTTTACTATTAATTTTAATTTTAATTTTTAATCGCCATAAACGAGTCAACGATGTTTTTAGTGTGTATGTGATGAAGGAAACGAGCGGAAAACTCATGGCATTTATGCGCTTCGTGTAATTTCATTGTAGATATTAAAACAAATTAAAACTTGAATTCGTGCCCCCCCGACACAGTTCCCACGAGGATGTAACTGCGGATCATAATTATAATAGTTAGGAAATTCGTATTCGTCATGTCACTTTTAATCGGTCGACGTTGTAATATTACACCGATAAACGAATGACACTATGTAGACAATAAGTTGTATATTTTCACGAAACAATACACGGATTGGCCACCCCACGACGACAGAGAAACTTTCTTAAATAGTCCGTATTGTCATTTTCGGCAGCTAAAAGGAGAACGGGAAAAAAATAAATATACGGATTCAAACGCTTTAATTAAAAGGGTACTTTAGACGTCGTCCTCGCTGCGTCCGCTTAGTTCATTTCGTCTGCAGCCGTCGGACGGTGGGTAAACAGTCGCCATTAGGTTTTATAGCCGATTCCGATCGATCGATCCTCGCCCTCACGGTTGTATTATGTCGGTGTACTCTACTAAATTACAATTCGTTCGTTTTTCCGCGTAGAATAGGCACTTCGTGTGCATGTGTGTGCGAGTTCGAGAGAGAGAAAAAAAGAGGTAGAGAGATCTCTTAATGTTCAAATATTACCCGCCTACACGTAACCTGCTCCACCGCGGCACAACTATTCGCGGCGGACGGCGGTGAGTAAATTGTCAACGGCCGAGTGTTTTGTTATCGTCGCTCACCAGGGACGTCCGTCTAAATGGGTCGGAGAACGGCAGGAACAGGTCTAACCGGCCTAGGGACCCCAATATCCCGTAAACAGTGTATTAATGTTATTATTGTTATTATTATTATTATTATTATTATTATTATTATTATTATTATTATT